CCCGGCCCCGCTCCGACACGGCTCTCGCCGCAGCCACGAGCTCGTCCACCGCGTGGCCAACGCCACGGCCACTGAAGTGCGCGCCAAGCACAACTACTTCAGCGCCACGGGCCGCTACGGGGACCACACGGGGCTCAGCTGCTTCAGCCCGGTGCTGAACATCATGCGGCACCCGCTGTGGGGCCGCAACCAGGTGCGGCGTGGGGGGCTGCATCCGGGCTCGGGGGGCTGCAGCGGGACCAGGGACGTGTTGGCCGGGGGGTCCCGGGGCGCCCAGCAGCCCGTGTGCCCACAGGAGACGTACGGCGAGGACCCGTTCCTGACGGCAGAGCTGGCCACTGCCTTCGTGCAGGGGCTGCAGGGCGGGCACCCGCGCTACGTGAAGGCGAGCGCCGGCTGCAAGCACTTCAGCGTGCACGGCGGCCCCGAGAACGTGCCCGTGTCCAGGCTCAGCTTCGATGCCAAGGTGCGTGCGGGCGCGGGCGGCAGCGGTCGCTGCGGCCGGGCCTGAGCCCCGCTCTGCCCGGCCAGGTGCTGGAGCGGGACCTGCGCACCACCTTCCTGCCCCAGTTCCAGGCCTGCGCGCGCGCCGGCTCCTTCAGCTTCATGTGCAGCTACAACAGGTACCGCCCGGCGGGGCTGGCGGCCGCAGCGGGTGCCGGTTCCGCTCCGGTGCTGGCTGCCGTGCCCTGGTGCCAGCCATGGTGCTCTGGTGCCAGCCGTGCTCCGGTGCTGGCGGTGCTCCGGTGCCGGTTACCGTGCTCTGGTACTGGCTGCGCTGTGGTGCCGGCCACTGCACTCCAGTGCTGGGCGCACTCCGGTGCCAGCCACGCTCCGGTGCCAGCCGCGCTCTGGTGCCAGCCGCCGCGCTCCTGCCGCTCTCCCCCGGCAGCATCAACGGCGTGCCGGCCTGTGCCAACAAGAAGCTGCTGACGGACGTGCTGCGGGGCGAGTGGGGCTTCGAGGGCTACGTGGTGAGCGACGAGGGCGCCCTGGAGCTCATCATGCTGGGCCACGGCTACACGCACAGCTTCGTGGAGACGGCGGCGGGTGAGCGGGGTGCGCGGCGGGGCGCGGGACCCGGCACCGTGCGCTCACGGCCGCCCCGTCCCTCGCAGCCGCCGTCAACGCCGGCTGCAACCTGGAGCTCTCCTACGGCATGAGGGACAACGTGTTCATGCGCATTGGCGAGGCGCTGGCCGCGGGCAACGTCACGCTGGAGGTGAGCGGGGCCGGGGCCGCGGGCGCCGCTGGACGGTGCCGCAGCTCCGGCCGCCGCCGCTCCCCGCAGACGCTGCGCGCCCGCGTGCGGCCCCTCTTCTACACGCGCCTGCGCCTGGGCGAGTTCGACCCGCCGGCCATGAACCCCTACAGCCGCCTGGGCCTCAGCGAGGTGCAGAGCCCGGCGCACCGGGCCCTGGCGCTCGAGGCCGCCGTCAAGAGCTTCGTGCTGCTGAAGAACGAGCGGGACACGCTGCCGCTGAGGGAGCCGGGCGCTGGGCGCATCGCGGTGAGCGCCGGGCGCGGGGCCGGCGAGCGTGGCTGCCCCGCGCGCTCAGCCCCGCTGCGCTCCGCAGGTCGTGGGCCCCTTTGCTGACAACCCCCGCGTCCTGTTTGGGGACTACGCGCCCGTCCCGGAGCCCCAGTACATCTACACGCCCCGGTAAGGCGGGACGGGGCTCCCAATTCCCGACTGCGCCCCGCGCGTGCCAAAGGGTGAGTCCGTGTGCGGCAATTCCCTGGCTCAGGAGGGGCTTGGAGACGCTGGCGGCCAACGTGAGCTTCGCGGCGGGCTGCCGGGAGCCGCGCTGCGAGCACTACGCGCCGGCCGAGGTGGCGGCAGCGGTGCGGGGCGCTGACGTGGTGCTCGTGTGCCTGGGCACCGGTACGTGGGGTGCTGGTGCGGTGCCAGCAGTGCCGCCCTGTCCTCCCACGGGTAACGCTCTGACCCCGGGCTCTGCCACAGGGATCGACGTGGAGACGGAGGGCAAGGACCGCGAGGACCTGTCCCTGCCTGGGCACCAGCTGCAGCTCCTGCAGGACGCCGTGCGTGCGGGTAGGTCTCGCTGCGGCGCCGCGGGGCGCTGGTGCCAGCAGCAGGGCTTGGTGACACCCCACGTGCCTGCAGCCGCCGGGCGCCCCGTGGTGCTGCTGCTGTTCAACGCGGGGCCGCTGGACGTGCGCTGGGCGCAGGAGCACCCCAGCGTGGGCGCCATCCTGGCCTGCTTCTTCCCGGCGCAGGCCGCTGGCCTCGCCATCGCCAACGCGCTGCTGGGCCGCCCTGGCGCCAACCCGGCCGGGCGGCTCCCGGCCACGTGGCCGGCCGGCATGGAGCAGGTGAGCACGGGCAGCGCCGGTACCGCGGTGCCGCCGGGCCCAGCGCCACGCGGCTGCTCCCCGCAGGTGCCGCCCATGGAGAACTACACCATGGCGGGGCGCACGTACCGCTACTACGGTGCCACGGCTCCGCTCTACCCCTTCGGCTACGGCCTCTCCTACACCACCTTCTCCTACCGCGAGCTGGTGCTGAGCGCCGCGGCGCTGCCCGCCTGCGCCAACCTCTCCGTGTCCGTGGTGGTGGAGAACACGGGGCAGCGGGACGGCGAGGAGGTGAGCGCCGCGGCGCCGCGGGCCGGGCGCCATCCCGGAGCTCGGCCAGCCCCTTTGGTGCCCGCAGGTGGTGCAGCTCTACCTGCGCTGGGAGCAGCCCTCGGTGCCCGTGCCGCGCTGGCAGCTCGTGGCTTTCCGCCGCGTGCCGCTGCCGGCCGGCCGCGCCGCCAAGCTGGCCTTCGAGGTGACGGCGGCGCAGCGCGCGGTGTGGGGCCCGCCATGGCGCGTGGAGCCCGGCGCCTTCACGCTCTTCGCGGGCGGGCAGCAGCCGGCGCAGGCGCGGCGGGCGAGCTCGCCGGTGCTGGAGGCGCGCTTCGGCGTCACGGGCGCCGCACGGCCCCTCAGCCAGTGCTAGGCGGGCGCAATAAAGTCTGTGCGCGGAGGCGGGCGCTGCTTGGGCTCGTGTCGGGGCCTGGGGGCTGTGCGGTGGGGACAGCAGTGTGCAGGGACAGCACGGGACGCCACGCGGCAGCCACCTCCAGGGGCTCTCCTTAGGCCTGGGGGGGCGTTATGGGCCCCGGGAGGCTTGTGGCAGGCTCTGTATGGAGCCAGTCAGGCTCTACAGGTCTTGTGCAACCCTCCACGGGCCCCATACAAGCCCAGGCAGGCCCTATAGACCCCATGTGGACCTCTACAGGTCACCTATGTGCCCAGGTGGGTCCTATGGACCCCATGTAGACCTCTACAGGCTTCTTACAGGCCACACACAAGCCTTGCATATCCCTTATGGCCTGGGCCTGCCCTTTGGGCCCCACACAACTTGCTGCCAGCCCCCTATCACCCCCACACGCCCCGTAGGACCCTCCACAGGTTCTGTCCATGCCACGGCAGGTTCTGCGAGCCCCAGGGCTAGGCCCTCTGTGAGATGAGGCTGGCTCTACAAGCTCCACGAGGCCGTGGGCGCTGTGTGAGCTTGGGCAGATCCTGTGGGCCCCACCTGGACTTTCTGGGGCTCCCTATGAGCCTGGGTGGGTGCTATGGGCCTCGCATGGCTCCACGCAGACCCCCTAGGCTCCCTATGGGCCTGGTGAGCACTATGGGCTCGGCATGGACACCCCCCTGCCCAGGCTCTAAACAAGACCTGGCAGGCTCTATATGCCCAGCCTTAGCCTCCTCCTGCCCACATGGGCCCAGCACAAGCTCTACAGGTCCCACACAACCCCCCGAGAACCCTCTATGGGTCCTGGCGAGCTCTATAGGCCCCTGGGGGCCTTCCTGGGCACTGCATTTGCAGGCTCCGCACAGGCACAGTACTGCTCTGTATGAGCCTGAGCAGGCCCTACAGGCCTGGGCTATTCCCACAGCCCCCACAAGAGCCCCCAGGCTCCCTAATGGCCCACATGGGCCCCACCACCCCACTCACCCTTCCATGGCTCTGGTGGAGCCTGGGCAGTCTCTCCAGGCACCACGCAGACCCCACTGGAGCCCATGCCAGCCTACGGGCTCCACAAGTGGAATCCGGAGGGGACTGGGCAAAGCCTACTGCTGTTCCCGTCTCGGGAAGTGAGGGCAAACTCCAGAGAGCAAGGCAAGCACACGGGGACTGGAAACCCTGCAGTTCAGTTAAGAGTGCTGAGCTTCAGGGAATGAAGGACTTGGTCATTCATGGCTGCACACCAGAGACAAGAGCCACACAGCATTTCAAAGAAACTTCTTTATTTTCCAAGTTCAGTATCACCAAGTGTTCAGACCATTACACGTGCTTTATAAACCAATTTCAAATTGTGCTCCAACTTTAATCCTTTCGCCCGCTTTCCCAACACTAAGCAACCCAGAGCACCCAGAACTAGGAACATTCCCCAACACTTGTCCCATGTTCCAATTCCAGGCCACTCCGATGTCCTGTAGCTTTATGCTCTGCTAATAATCAATTTCACCTGTCCCATTAAACCATTATGAGATGCAAGTTCCAGGTATCAGTCATAGGACAGCCACACATTCCCAGCCTTAAAAGGCAGCACGTGGCTTCTTCCCACATATCTCAATGGCCCATCAAGCTGCTGCTCTCCACAAATGTTGGCTGTTGAGCAAGTCGTTAACCTCACTAAACCAGTAAATTCCATTCAATCCCGTTTAAAAAGAAGTCATTTGTCCACTTTTCTTCTCAGGAATTAACCTCTTCCCTCCAAACCATGTAAATTCTGCAACATCTTACAAACAAGGAAACCTCTAAGCTAAGCTTTTGCTCTGAAATACCACCTACAAAGTTTGCACTGGCATTTAATTACTGCAAGCTGTTAAACCAATTCCATTGGTCAAAATCAGTTAAAAAAACGTAACTCAAGCTTTGAAAGAAAAGCTGTTTAGAGCTGCATAACTACAAGCACAGGACGATGTAACATTATTATTGCAGGAATACTCACCTTGCAAGAACGTCCCGCTGAATACGAACCTGCATCTGAAATAAATAAGGAGTATTTTAAGGAATCGCTCACAAATGGCACCTGGTCCCCGCCGAAGCAGAGCCCCCGCCCCCCACCAAGAGCCACCCTTAGAGCGCTTGTTTCCTGCATGGTTTATCCCCTCCGTCACTGCCCGAGGGCTCGGAGAAGCAGTAGGAATATGCAGGCTGCAGACGCGAGGCCCGGCTTGTTCTCCAACGTTGTGGAAAGGGAATATACGTCCTGGGCCCGAGGGCCTACGCTCCCCTGCGCCACACGGACAGGGCCGAGAGAGAGCTACTTCTCCGGATGTCCACGTTGGGTCCCCGCCACCCGCGCGAGGCACCGGCCGCCCCCCAAGAGCGAGAGCCGCCACGAGGCCCCAGGCGCCGCCGTCACCAACTCACGTCCTCCTCCTGTCGCTCGCCGCCGGGAAAGAGAGCGAGCGTTGCTGCGCGCCGCAATTTATAGAGCGGGAGGGCGGGGTCAGCGCGCTGCGCATGCGCCGCGAGCAGCGGCGGGCGGGGCCGGAGCGGCCGTGGCGTGCGATTGGGCAGCGCGCCCGGCGCGTGCGCAGTGCGGGAGCGAGGGCGGGGACGCGCACGCAGGCGCAGGGAGGGAGGGCGCATGCGCAGGGAGGCGATCTGCCTTCCCCCCCCTCCCCCGCCCCCCCCCCCCCGAGCGAGGGCGGGGACGCGCACGCAGGCGCAGGGAGGGAGGGCGCATGCGCAGGGAGGCGATCTGCCTTCCCCCCCCTCCCCCGCCCCCAGTCCCCCCAATCCCCGCAAAAACGTGGTTTTTGTGTGTGTTTTCCCTCCAAAATGCGCCGTCATCACCTCATCAGCCTCTGCACACGGGGACAGTTCAACTCTTCTTCTTCCTCCCCCGTTTCTCTCCCAGAAAGTCCCTTTGAAACAGCCAATCCCCCCCCCATCACAAAACAGTCATAAAACTCAATTAAAAAAAAATCCTAAAATACTTTTATTCCATAATTATACTCTGTTGCTGAGGAGACAGATAAACAACACAAGGATTTAGTCTACAGCCATTATTGTGCAGGGGAAAGCGGCGAAGGGGAAGGCACCCTCGGCCTCCTCAAGATGGTGGCCGCTGGTGGTGGGGGGGGTGGAGGGGGACAAGGCCACCTCGGGGTCCCCTCGGGGCCACCAAGGCCCAAGGGGAGGCCCAGGGGGTGCTGGAGCCGGGCCCGGGCGGTACCGGAGCCGGGCCTGGCAGGTCTTGGCACATGGTGGGCGCCGGGGCAGCACCGAGGGCCGGCAGCCCCTCACGGCGCCTTCCCTCTGCTCATGGCTGCCCACTGCGCCATTAAAAACCCCCGATATTGAGGAAGAACCGATAGGCCTCAGCAGAGAGAGAGAGAGAAGATCTGCTTTAAGGTCACTTATTAAACCTCTTTCTCTCCCCCTCCCAGCTTTCCACCCACACAGTGAAGTTATCAAGTTTCCAGTAGGTTTTGCTATATTTAAAATAAAATTAAAAAAAAGGCAAGTTTCACCCTGATTTGTGAGAGTAAAAAAAACCATCGCTGCGGAAGCCACAGTAAAAAGAATTGACTACTGTCACGGCTTCCCCAAATTAAACAAGTTTTTAAAAGGCAACAGTCATTTCCTGGTTTTGTCATCTGTTAAACAAGCCTAAATATCTCAAGACAAGATCTATTAACATTAGAGCAAGTGAGAGAGCGAGGGAAGAGGAGGGAATGTTTTATACATTTAAAAAGGTGTGTTGTGTTCGGGGTTTTTTTTGCCTTTTTTTTTTTTTTAAACAAAAGATGCAGCATATGTTAATATCTATACAATTCCCTTCCAGGACAACAAACCATTGGTCAGTAGTGATTCAGGACATTAAGTACATTATGGAGACGCAAGCGAAACAAAAAATAGAGAGTCACATGTCAGTTGTCCGCCAGGTCAGCATCTGTGCAGGGTTTCTGTACACAGCTAATATACACACGTGCTTCCTGGCACATCCGCTTCGCCATTCCTCAGCTCTCCAACACCAGAGCTGCTGGGTTTTTTTCCCCTCCCCTTAGTAAGAAGGAGGAAAATCTGCAAGTTTCCAATCGTAAGGAGTACGTACAGCTGAGAACTGGGCCTGGCATGGTTGAGAAAGGGAACAAGGGGAGGAAACGTTCGTTCAGGTGTGCGTGGTCTCCAGGCAGGGACGCTGGGTGCCAGGAGGGGTGTATTGCTGAGCCGTGCGAGGTATAGTGTTCAGTTCCAGCCTGATGGCACTCGAGATGTGTTTGTTCCAGTGAAATGCTACATTCAGATGGGATTCCCCCTTCCCCGGCCGGGAGCCCTTTTCTAGGTATGTTTTGAAGGCAAAGCTTGGAAGAGTCGAGGTCCACCCTCACTGGATTGCCAGGAGATGGGCACTGAGAACTTGCAGTCCTCTCAAGTCTCTTGCTGCCTCTTGGGAAATTATGGTCGGTGGTACCTGAAAGCCCAGGGAAAAAGCGTCATCCTTAGAACTGGTGGCAAAGGGTTACTAAAGCACTACAGGTGGCCAAAATCAGTAAACAGAACATCTGAACTCTCAGTCCTCAGTTAAGCTGTCAACATAACAGGATTCCACCCCATTCTAGAAAGCTTTTCTCGTCTGCAAATACCTTCAGCTCAGCCAATAAAGGGCAACTCTTAGAGAAAAAAGAAAGAATAATTTGGGTCACGATCCACTAGTTCCTTTGTGGGTACACCAGAGCTAACGACCAAGGTGTTTTGTGACAGACATCTGCTATAGACCTCAGGACATTCTACAAAGAGGTGGCAAAGCTGAGGGGGGAAGCAAAATGCCTAAGGTTGTGGATTCTGCAGCATGTCTCTAAGTCCAGAACAGCATATTCCAGCTAAAACGTACAGGTTTCGGTATGCTGGTTTCATATACACCTCAAACCAGCTGCTGGTCACCTCTGATATGACAGTTTCAGGGCCCCAGTTTAGGGAAGAACCATTAGCATGTCACATCAGGTCACCCAGGAACACTCCAAGGTGGAAATGGACATCAAATCTGGAGCTGTTGTGCCACGCATTTTTCTCAGCACTACCTGAGACACAAATCTCCCAACAAGACCGGCAGGAAATCTGGGCGGTTGTGTGTATGATGAGCAGATAATGCATTCTCACCGCGTGAACTGCTTGCTGTCTTCGTGGACTTCCATTTCACAGCTCTTGAATTCATTCAGTTCCTTCCGGATGGCAGCCTGCATGAAGGAGAGCTTTTTATCTCTAGGGCCAATGACCCTCTCTCTTTCCCCCAAGCAAGCTCACATGAGGCAAGAAGGTGCTGTGCATCCAAACGTGCTCTGGGCTGATCCACACCACCTTTCAGCAGTAAAGGGTGAGGGCAAGTTTGACAAGTCCCCAAGGTCCTTTGGGTGAAGGGTCTCCCAGATTGCAGCAGCCTCCTCATCTTCCCAGGCTAGGCTGAGTTTAATCTGCCTCCCCCTCTGCACTGAGGCCTGGGCAGGTTTCTGGCGCATGGTGGCAATGGGGGATCTTCCCGGCCACCTTCTTACCCCGACCTGCCTCGGCCTGTGACGAACTGAGCTCCTCTGACCAACACCCCATGCCTCGTATTCCCGAGTCATTTGGGAGCCAAGGCAGAGGCTGCATCTGAATGTGAAAAAGGCCCCTTGAGGCTGCATTTTGCAGTGCAGGGAAGCAAGGCTGGGTACAGTGCATGTGGGTGATGGGACCTGCTGCTGCTTGGTGGTGGCACAGTCAAGGGAAAGGTGAAGCAGGAGGAACAGAGCAAGTTGTCTTTGCTCATAGCCTTTGTTCTTTCTTTCTTTTGGGGGCATGGAAGACCCCAGTCTAGCTCTGCACCACAGACCTGGGGACACAGCACTTCTGGTTACCTTGTCAGCTGGCGTTAGCTTTGTCCAGGGCTTATCTGCTCTCCGGTCATAGTCTTGAGCATCTGTTACTTCCACATATTCATTAAATCTCAGGATCTTCCTGGCCTGCAGCTCTGCCACTGTAGGCCTTTGGCTAAGCTGAAACAAGTGAGGACACCAGACAGTTTGCACCTTGTCCATGCAGCAGCTCAGGACTGAGCCCTCCCAAGCAAAACAAAGCCCAGCTCCCTCTCACTGGACCCGGATCACAGACACGGCTAGGTCCTGCTCATTAACCAGCCTGCAAGGAAGCAAATCCTCTTACAGTCTCCCTCTTACAGCCCTCACTTGGATCACGAGGCTGCGCTAGGGCAAAGCCACAGCCACGTTCCAGAGGAAGAGGATGCTGCTGAAGGGCCTGGGTACGGCCAGGGCAAGGGCAAGTCCTAACGCTCCCGAGCCAGGGCAGCCGTGCCAAGAGCAGCGACGCTCTTGCCTCCTATGCACAGGCCCTTGGGAAAGGCTCCCCAGCAAGGAGTAACCCCACTCAAACTCCAAAGGCCAGAGTTAACTTCTCTCAGCTAAGTCAGACATCAGTGGGATCAACATACTAGAATAGAGGAGTAGAGATTTCGTTTCAAGTCATTTACAAGGATGCTTGAACATCAGGCTCCTAGAGCCATGATTAAACATCCGATGAGTAACTCGGATTTGGCACCTAAAAACATCTGTTGCTCTTCTCAGCTTCAAAATAACTGCTGTTGTTTTGGAAATGGATTTTGGTGAGTCTGAGGTGGAAGTCAGGGCCACTTCAGTGCTCTGCTCTTACAGTACTACAGCCAGGCCAGCACTAACAACTTTTCTAGTGGCAGGTGACAAATTTAGGTCTCATACAGCGTGTTGTGCTTGATGCCAGCCCCGACCTGTCAGTGCCAAGCAGGGCTGCAGTATCAGCATCGCTGACAGGCCAAGGTCCAAGGGCACTGCAGTGGGGGCACTAGGGACAATTACACAATAGCCCCGTGACTTCACCCACAGCAAGGAGCCCGCAATGTGCTCACGGTCACCATCGTCCCCAACAGCTCTGCCAGATGGCAATCGCAGCACGAAGGCCAGCAGTACCTTTCTGGTGAGTCTGCGTTTGATCTCTCGCTTCTCAGCTTGACGGTCAGCTTCATTTTTCGCTGCCAAGGGAAAAAATATTTTTTCCTTTAAGCATCACAGATTTTGAAAAGCACTTTCTAGATTTGACTGGAGAAAAAACAGCAGTTGCATCAAGCTATTTAACCATCTGAAAGCTCTTTTTGGGATGCCTGCTCTTATTTGTAGGCAAAGAACACTAACTTGATACCCATACTCGCTGAACACCCCCCTGAATGGCAACAGGGGCCCTAGCACCACACGAATGAGTCATTCTCTCCAGATCTAGGTATGTTAAAGATTAATGGTCATAATGTCAAAATAGATCCAAGCCGCTGAGAACAGGCTTTTGAAAATGCTCCTCCCAAAGCCATTATAGTAGTAGTTTAAAGAGAAAAGCAGCACAGATAAATATTATAAATGGAAACTTCCTGAACTAACATTTCCCTTTCGTCAAGCTGTTTGTTTAAATCTTTCACAGGGCAGGGTATGGCCAAGAGAAACACCGCTCACTGAACAATGAGGCCCTCCTTCCTGGATGATACACCGCAATGCAGCAATGTCTGGACCACAAATAAAAGTCCAGCCCACACAAAAATACCTTCAATAGTTCTTGCTGTGCTTAGCCAGGCTCTGGTGTTCACATACTGTCCCCCAAAGTGCCAGGCAGAGGACAGGTAGCACTTTTACATGATACTTTGAACCCTATTTCTTGGTACTCTTTCTCTAGCCTAGCAAAGCCAGCCTCTGCTAAGGCCTGGTCTTACCCAGAGCTAGTTTCTGATGGCAACAAGACGCTAGGAAATTCAGTGGAGCTGCTTTACTACACTGATGTAACCAAAGCACAACCCATCATCGCTGTTATTTTGAGCAACTGGAGTAAAATGTTGAAGTGGAGTCAAGACATCAACTATTTTGTTTTAATACTTGGGAGCGATGAAGCAGCATTACTCACGCTGAAGTATGTTCCTCTGCTCCAGTTCTTCTGCTGTCGGTCTTTGACTCAGTCGCCTAAAGAAGAACAGGACAAACGCGTTGGGCTTTATCTGGGAGATAGGCGTTGAAGAACACAACTGCGTGGCTTGGGTGCATGGAGAAGGTCTCCACGCTCCTCACTGACCAGCTGCGATTCTGCTTTGGCCTCTGCTGCACTCGGACAGCCGCTTGGCCGCCAGCAAGGTCAGCCTTGCCATGGCTTCCCAGCGCCTCAGGGAACCGGAGCAGACAGCAGAGGCTGGGCGTTCAACCACGCAACCTCAATCCACTGCCCAATGCACCGCCACTCGGGCTGCGCTTCTCCACGCCCATATGTCCCATCTAGAGCATACAGTAACAACGCACCAGTAAGTCCTTGGAGATTTCTCTCTCCCAGCGCACTTAGGGCCTGGGAATAGAAGCCTGCCATGGGATACAGCTCAGCTCCAGGAAAAACTTCCAGCTCCAGGAAAAACTTCCAGCCATTACAAGTGTGGCGGGAAGCAACACTGAGCCTTTGTTTCCCACAGCCCTGACCTGGCAGCGCTGCCCAGACACTTGTCCTGCTCCAGCAGTGCTCAGAGCTCCGTGCAACCCGCCCGAGCTTGTGCCAACGGCTCGAACAAAATCCTCCTTTGTTCCTTGTACCTGATCAGTGTCGTCCCGATCTGGTGCCGAATTTCATTCCACTCCTCCTTGCTCTTGCGAGGGAAGATGATCTTTTCCTCGTGGGGGGCAGCTGGGATGCCCAGCTTCATAGCTAGTGTGTCTTTCCTCTTCACCTTGTTAGCCAGCATGCCTGCAGGGAGGAAGAGCATGGGGATGTGTGTGAAAGCTGCAGTGCCCACGCAGAGCACCGTACGCCACGCGTTCCCTGCTGTCCCACTCCCCCAAGGCTTGTTTTCCAAGCTAAGCACATCGGCTCCTGAGCTAGCAAGAGCTCCAGCTCCTCTGTGAAGGCCACGTGCTCAGCGAGCACCATCCCACCTGAGGAGGAGATGGCAGAGGCTGTTTAATTGCAACAAAAATGTATGTATTGGCGGGTCTGTCTCAGAGACATGGGTTTGGCTGCTAGAGCTTTTACAAAAGCAGCAAAAATGGATGCAGTGCATCACAAAACCAAGAACCAGCTGCTTGGAAGACCCACATGAGTTAGCAATTTCATCCAGATCTCTGTACGGGCACAAGCTCAGCAAAGAAAAAGTGCCAGCTGCAACATCAAGGACTTACTGTTATGGCTGTCATCTTCTTCCTCATCTTCATCATCCTTGTACAGGATGGGTCCCTCCGAGTCAGAATCGCTCATCCCTTCATCACTCTCATGCTCCTCTGGGAGGGCCTGGGGCACCAGCTTTGGGATGACTGTGACAGACGGCACATCTCCAATATACACACGGGGGCCTGAACTCTGCTCCTCCTCCTGGTCATCATCTTCCTCTTCCTCATCGTCTGGACTAACAAGAAGCACATTGTTAGATCTCTCTCTGCAAAGAGCAGCCCTCTCACCGCCCCGGTTTGGGACCTTCAGGTTCAGCATAAGGCAAGGCTCTGACTCCTGTTTTGCAAAGATGGAAGGATTAGCAGGCCAAGAATGGATGAAACCCAAGACCTTGTTTCGTCTCAACAATTTAAAGACAGGTCTGGATCCCTGGTATTGGCTTGTATTAGTCCTCTGGGGCATGTTTGCTGTTAAAAGCAGTAAAATCCCACAACCAGGGTTCATGTAGAAGATGCACAGATCCCTCAAGAGACTCATGCACAGACTGAGCAGATAAGCAAAATGGTTTCTACAAACAGCGTAGGAAAACAGCCCCGGCCAGCATGGCCAACGCCAGAACAGAGCCCATCGCGCTGCTAAAGGCCACACGTGGCGGGTACTCACACTTTGAGCATCTCGATGGTGACCGGCAGGGACCTCGTGCGGCCCAGGGTGCCGCTGTCCTCCCCACAGCCATCGCTCTCGAAGAGCAGCGAGTGGGCCCGGTGCGAGCCCTCGGCGGGCGGCGTCACGGGCAGCGGGCTGGCCAGGGCCTGCTGGATGCGGATGTGCAAGGGGACGGGGGGCAGCCGGGGCAGCGCGGGAGGCTCCCCGAAGCCCTGCTCCGCCGGCCTCTTCGGCGCTTCCAGGCTCCTGACGTCGTCGGGAGGCGGAGGAGTCTCTTTGGGCAGCTCCAGGGAGCGCGGAGGGTCCAAGGCAGGGCTGGAGAGGGGCAGGGGGCCGCGCGGGGGCTCGGGCGGGATGTGTGTGGGCAGCGGGGGCGAGGGCGAGGGCGGCGGGTAGGCGGGCGCCACGGGCACCAGGAGCGGGCGACTCGCCGCGCGCTCGCTCGGCGCCCTGGGAGCGGGAAGCGGCTCGGAGCTGCTGCAGAGCAGGACGCCTCTCTTGGGCGGCAGCGGAGGGGAAGGCTTGGACAAGCCCGGCGCGCTGTTCAGTGCTTGGGAGAGTTCGGCTGGAAAGAAAGGAAGAAAAAGTCACTACGTTTGTCAGGGGGTGCACCGTTCAGGGTGCAAAAAGAATAGCAAAGTACTTGGGAATGAGCAAACGCAGCTGCTTTCCCACCGGAACAAGGTGCCAGAAATCACCAGGTTGCCAACCTCTCGTTTTGCCCTTTCCACAGCCGGGAGCAGCCTCGGGAGCGCGAGCAGGAGCCCGGCAGGCTGGGAGAGGTCCCGAGCGGGCGGCACCAGCCCTCCAAGGACGACAGATGGAGCTCGACCAAGGACGGCCTGGCGAGGAACGCAGCTACGCAGGGTGCTCCATGGCTGCACTTGCAGTGCTACGCAGGAATCTGGGTCACCCAGGGCACCCCGGACTTCGGTGGTGCTAACAGCTCCCTTGCACTTGAGGAGAAACTCCCCTCTGCTGTTCTCTGCCCTGGAAAGCCTTGTGAGGAGCTCCTGCCCAAGGATGAGCTTTTGCTCTGTGCCCTGGGCGCTCTATTCCTTAAGCCCTGTGCAAGCTTATCTGCAACTACAGCAAACAACTCTTCCAGATCCACACAGGAGCTCTCAGTTGGAAAGGGACACAGGGACCATGCCAGAGAATGGATAACTTCAGCTATAACCGATCACACTCCTTGCTGCTAGGGAAGAAGCTGCACCAGTAGAGGCTGCTCTTGTTTCAAGGGTTTATAGCCTTTCATCCTTTCATATTCATATAGTGATGGCTTCTTGGGCTCAAAAAGTCATTTTCTTTGCTTAAAGGGGGTCTAACTTATTGTGCATCTCAAAGAGGTGGATCATGGTGCCGAGCTCGTGGAGGAACCGGTGCTGCTGGTGCCACAAGAGGGTGCTGCAAGCAGCAGCGTTTCACCGAGATAATGCTGCGGAGCCAGGGAGAGGTGGGTGCATTTTTGGGATGTTTGGCATTTTCAGACTTTCCCCTTACAGATTAAGGGTTAGATTGTGCAAAACACCGAGTGCTCGCAGCTCCCGTCAACATCAGCACAGGAGGGTTTTCAGTATCCCCTGGGCAGCACTCAAAGCCAGGCGGGACTGGGCTCGCAGTCACCTTTGGGGACTGGCAGACCAAGCCAAAAAGGACCTGGCAGAAGGAAAAGGAGACAGAAGGAGAGTGGCCCGTGTCCTTCCAGTGTGACAAGGCCCCAGCACACACGGTGTCACAAGCTGCAGGGACCTGCCATCACAGCACTGTCCCCTGCCCTGTTCCTGTTCCTGTTCCTGTCCACCAGCTACAGGAACCACGGCTCCCCAAAGCCATCGGCAGCACCAAGGTGGCTGCGGAGCTGGTGGCCCTTGCAAAAGCGCTGCTGGCCCTGCAGATACTGCGGTGTGCGCAAGCAGCTTAGGGAAAACAAGTGAGCGTTTCACGGGGTGCTGGGGCACGCTAATCGAGCGGCTCTGCGACACAGGGGCGTTCCATACCACACCAAGGCCACTTGCAAAACCTGCTCGAACGCGGAGAAGCCCCACGCAGAACAAAGCGGTGCTGTTCACGCCGCAAACGGCGGCCCTGGCTCCTTCCAGCTGCAATTCCCACTCGATGCAAGGTTTTCCGCGCCGCCTCCCAGCCCACGCCTGCGTAACGCTGCTGGTTTCAGCAATAACAGCACAGATGTCTCCCCTGGATCTTCCCAGGAACCTCCCTGTTGGTCTGCACTGGGCTTTGCTCATCCAGTCCGCAGCTAAGCGGGAGGTCAGTGAAATATGAACAGGCCATCGTGCGGATTCAAGGCACTTGCACAAGAGCTCGAGCACGCAGGACATCTTTAACACCACTGAGAATCTTAAATAGAGCAGGGAAAGAAACCCTCCTAAACAGAGCTGCATTACGAAACCCTCCCCGGCTTTTTGCCTTAGGAAAATTAGTACTAAAAAAAAAATATTTCATTTTTAAGCGGGAAGAATCAAGGCGAATTATCCTTTATTCCATCCATCTATGGGTCAGGAATTAAGGAAACTTACGATTTCAGCACAGCAGTGCCCTGACCACTTAGAGAAAGTGCCTGTATCAAGTGGGGAAGTGGCAGCCCTCTCTGCCAGCTCCAGGCCTCTCTGCTGTTGCTGGTGCCCGGGAACGACGAGCATTATGCAGGCTGGCTGCTGTGACGTGAGGGCTTCTTCTCCCCCTCCACCACCTTCCAAAACCACCTGAAGGCATCAATCTCACTGACTACACCCTGGTGAGGCCAAAATCTCCCTATGCCATCCATCAATCCAGGCTGTCCAGAGCTGAATTCCAGCCTTCAGCGAAATGTTCAAAGACACTGCCTTAAACGCAGCACAGAAACACCTCCCCACCACCTTGCACTGCTTCTGCCCCTGCCCATAACCACCCCCAGCAGTCGGAAGGGTGGCTCCGGGCACAGCACTCGGTCACGGCCGGCTCCTCGGCGGGCCTGGCTAAACACAGGCTGATATTCCAAGTGCAAACTGGACTGTTTTCACAGCAGACTCTCGGACTGCATCACGCTAAAAGCTCCCCCCGTGGCACGCAGGGCAGGACGCTGTGGCGAGGGCACTTACCGATGACGGAGCTGCTGTTCCTGTTGACGGGCTTGGGCGGGGGGACGGGGGGCTGCTTGGCCGGCGCCGTGCCCGTCGCGCTCGGGGCAGCAGTAGTGTTGGCGGTGGCAGGAGCCAGGGGCAGGGTCCTGGGAGCCGGGGAAGGGGCAGCCGTGGGGCTGAGGGTCCTTGCGGGGGCCGGGGTGGAGGCGCCCGCTCTCGCGGCGCCGCTGCCGGGATCCTTCAGCTGCACTTCGTTCGCCTCCTGCGAAGCCGAGGGGGGTCTCTTGGGAGGGAGCAGGGGCTGCCAGGGGACATGTGGCTCCGGAGGCGGCTCCGATTCCGCACCGGGGTGGCTGCTGGATGAGCCTGCAAAGCACAGAGGAGCTGAGGAGACCGGAGAGACCAGGGAGCCATGGAAGAGTCCAGTCCAAGCTGGTCCTGCAAGGATATGAAGCAAGCGGTTGTGCAAACACCTGGATTCCTACCCTGCCGCTTCTTTGGTTCCTCAGCTGGAACGGGCTTCCCGGCGCTCGGCGGCTTGGTGGCCTCCTCCTCTTGGCTGGTCCAATTACCGGCTCCAGGGCCCCCAACGGGGACCGTGTGGCCGTTCTTCAGTGCGGGGGGGTTGAGCTTCTCTGTTTCTTCACCATCTGCAAGTGGGCAGGAAGGGAGAGAAGCAAAAACAGAACAGTGAGAAGGCACAAGACAGGACACCATCCATCCCCACCTATTTCTCTTCGCCTTGTGAAACAACTGGTTTTCCCTCGTCCTTCTGCACAGCAACACCAACTCTAGCTTAAGCTGAGCAAGTGATTTCATTTGCAAGAAGCGGAAGAGCACAGTGCTGTATCCCACCATGGAGTTTTCTTCCTTCATTGGCTTATTATTATTATTAACCAACCATCCATTTAAAAACTGCAATACTAGCATGTCCAACACTATCCCACAGCCTCCAAAAAGCTGTAACCATGGTCAGCAATAAATTGCTCCAGCCACTTCCCTATCCACTCATAGCAGAGGCACATCCACAGCTACGATAGGAGTATACGCAAATGCCCCGCCAAGAGGAAGAGGCATTTCCTCACTTTTACCTTTGTTTTGAGCGGCTGTAACTGCTCATCTCCAGAATCTCAACTATTTCTGCTCATGCAGATTGTAGTGCCAAGTTCCCCACACTTTAAAAGGACTTCCCTTTTCCCAGGGAGCTCTTCTCCGTCCTGCTACGTGATGCTTTGGAGAGCGTTTAGAGTCCTAGTCACCAGGAGGAAAAGCTCAGCCATTCTCCACCTCCTTAATCGCCTTGACGGCATCACGGGTCTCCCAAACCTCAGGCACTTCGTGTTGCTCTGATTTTTGAGCATTTATTCTGCTGCCCCCTTTTCCCCGTCCTTCCCCAACCTGGTGTTATGCAGGAGCCAAAGCAGAGGTACCTCATGGAGAGCTGCCTGTGCTTCCACCTCTGCAGCACTCGCGCAGCTTCCCAAGGGGAGACGGGCAGCGCCCACGTCACTTAATTAGCTGCCCTTCCCTGAAGGGCAGGATGCAAAGACAGCAAGGAGAGGGAATTTCCTGCCCAGCCGAGGCTGAAACTGCAGAGAAGAGCAGGAGCTTTTAATAGCAACAGCAGTTGCCTCTGGCTAAGCCCAAGTCTTCAGCAAGGAAGACAGAAGCAGAAGCTGCAGCTCTCGGTAGCCCTGGAGCCCTCACGTGCCCTTCTCCCCAGCCCAGCCCGAGCGCAATGCTCCTCCCGGCCTCACTGGAGGCCGCTTTCCTCCACACTTCCATCCCAGGGGCCTCCTGCAAGGCCAAGACAGCCCAGCGTGACCCCCCTTGCTCAGTGTGTTCAGTGCAGCCTGCCCCAGGCCAGACAGCAGCACACAGACCACCTCCTCTCCCACCACCACGCTGCATGTGGAAGCCTCCCCTGCTCTTCGACCCTGCCTCCTTCCTTGCTCGTCTCAAAGGACTTCTGGCACTTTTCCTCCCCCAAGAACTTGGCTGAGGAAATTAACTGGCCTTGGAAGGGCATGTTTTAGAATTACAAGCAAATACAATAACCTACCACCACCGTCTTGTGACCACCCAAGTGTCTTAAAAAATCACAGAGCAGGGGATTAAGATAATGCGCTTTCTAATCTACCCCTCCTGACGATACCGACTGCTCCCCTGTACCTTGGGCTTGCACTTTGTCCAGATTTTAACCATCTTCTGTTTTCTAAGCCCCATCAGATGACTCTGAGCAGAAAATAATTCCCCCTCCTAGCCACACTCCTGTTACACCCCTGCAGCTTGGAAGGCTCCTCTGGCATCTCTGGCCGCGAGTTTGGCGCACAAAGCCTTTGATCTTTCCCAGTTTCATCCTGTGACCTCATACTCTTTGCCACCACAGTGAATTCCTCCTTCGGCCCAGCATTTGTACCCTCGGGGGGCTGCAGATGGCTTTCATCGCAGCAGAGCTGCAAACAACCACGCGAGACTTCTCATCTGTTTTGCTTTCAGTGGTTTGGTCTGAGAATCACTCTTCTCACCTCCACTTTTTCCTCTTCCTCTTTGGCCGCGTTTTCCTTCGAGGAGCAAACCCCGAATTCCGCCCTGCTGTTAGGGCTCTGCAGCACGTCACTAGAGCGATGTCTGCTCTTGCCAGCTCCCTCCTCGTGCTAACGTCACCCAACACGCAGCCAAATCAACCAGATGTCAAGCCGAAAACTTACTTTGACAAGACCCTTACATTTCTCCCCAAAAAAGAACATTTGTAAGGCAAGGGGGAAGAGAGGGAGCACATCGGAGGCGGTTACACAGAACAGAGAGCTGAGCAATAAGTTTATTTGCACTCACCCTGCTCAGGGTCTTCCAGCAGGACCCCTCTTTTCACCAGCTCCTCTCTCGGCTTTCGCATAGAAATCTTTCGTTCTAAAACTGGTATTAAATTGAAGAAAAGAAAGAAAAGAAAAAAGGCAGTCAGAAAACAGGGCAACGCTAGAGGTTTGAGAAGAACAGGGTTTAGAGGCAGCAGTCCTTCAGAGAAAGGCGGGCTTCGCATTTCTGGCTTTCGCACGGGTTAGGGCGGCAGGTCGGGGCGTGCGCTCCCGCGGCCCTGCCCGCGGCTCCGGGGACGCTCCGCGCACAGGAATGTTTCCCACCGACGGGCACGTGGGCACGGCGGCGCGTTTCGGCCCAGCTCGCGGGTGACACCCCGCGCCCGGCAGAGTCACCCGTGGTGCGCGGGCACCCGGAACAAGCCATTCTCATTAGTCAGCTGGCTAATTGCGGATTTCCCCCGAGCAGGAAGGGCCTCCCGCCTAGCCCGTGACTCTACCTTCCGACGTCTCCTTAAATTTGTCGCTGCTTTTCTTTTTCCTCCACTTCCAAGGCTTGAAGATCTTGCCAAAGCTGGAGAACTTGCTCTTGCGCTTTGTAGGGGGGGTCGTGTCGCCCGATTCCAGCACGTCCACCCCCATGCCGGCGTCCAGCGGCCCGTGATCCGCGTCCTCAGCTGCAGAGGGAAGGGGACACGTGAGGGGCAGCGCGGCGCCCGCCGGCCACCCGCGGCACGGAGCAGGGCCGCCCGTTCATGCAGCGAGCGGCGCTTGCGATGCTGGCAGCGCAAAGGGAGGCAGCTTCGCTAAGGAAACGGCGAGCGGCTCCGAGCGCCGCAGGAGAGCTTTGCCGAGGGAACACGAAGCGCTTTGGGGCCGCTCCTGGTCGCCAGCTGGACGCAACTGCTCTAGACGCAGTGGTTACCCGAGCGCAAACACCTTCCAGCCGGCCCGAGGGAGCCTTTCCACACGCTGCAGCGAGCAGCCCCATCACAACAGCTGGATGCACTTGGCCTCCCTCATGTTCCCCTCTATAAATAAGGGCGGCAAAGCTGGCCAAGAGCAACAACGACACAGGAAAGCAACACAATGCGGGCCCGCGCTCCACCTACGGCCCTGGAAGTCTCTGGAGAATGGCGGGAGGACGCGGAGGAGGGAAGGGCCACGCACAAGGAAAGCTCTGACTTCACTTCAGCAGGGAAGCCCGCAAAGGGAGCGATTTGCTAAGCAGAGCTGCGGGAGGCAACGTGAAGCTGGTGGCCCTCGGCGCGCCCTGGCTCGCCCGCTGCTGTCACTTGCTGCATGCAACATAAGGGAACGCTCAAAAATCAGCAGAATCCAGCAACCCCTGCAAAAAAAATTAAGAGCACACACAAGCTAAAGTGATGTCAGGCCCCCGTTCTGTGGGCTGTTTCCAGGCTGAGGTCCCTTGGCTTTGGCAGGACCACTTTGGGGTTTGCAAAGCGCTCGGGGAGCACCAGAGACCTTCCCGTCCCCAAGGAACCGGCAAGAGGCACCAGCGGAAAAGACGGAGACCCCGGGGCACACGGCGAGGCCAGCCAAGAATCCCATCTCCCGAGGCTAAAAGACTGGAAAAAGGGCTTTATGGAAACAGTGCTTTGCACACGCAGCAGGCTAGTAACGGGTCTGCCCGCGGTGCGAGTATCCACCACAGAGCTGCTCCGCAAAAACCTGGGAAAAACCCCCAAAGGGCGGGAGGTGGATTGGGAAGGCGGCGGTAGCAATTGGGGATTTGGGGCTGGAAAAGGGGTGGGTAGGCGGGTGGGAAACGGCCCCTGGAGCTGCCAGAAACCCGAGCTGGATGGCTGGGATGTTTGCAGCTCCCTCCTCGGGGCTGTGCAGGTTGCTTTGAAAAGCAGCATTCGCCCGGGTGCGCAGAGCGAGCGCCCGCCGGGCACAAGCTGCACGGGAAGCCAAGCCCAAGCCTGGGCGACAGGGCCTTTGGGAGCCCGGCTTGGGCGATCCCTGCTCCCGAAGGGCGCCGCTGCAGGTGGCTGCGCCGGGCTCGGCTCAAGCACGGCCCTCGTTCGGGCTGCTCCAGGGAATGCGGCTTATGGGATCCTGGCTCGCGAGCACGGGGAGCGCTGCGCTCAGCAAAGGGGTGTTAAAAGAAAGCTCGAAAAGCACGGGGCGACGGGCAGAGCTGGGGCTGCCCTGCTGCCACTTAGAAGCTCTGTGATTTAAATCTGGTCCAACATGAAGGTATCTTCCTTTTTTTGACCCTTTAAAAACCAGTTCCTGCTCTAAAAGCTGCCATTCAAGAGGCAGATTTCAGGTGTTGTCTGTCACTTCCTAGCGTCAAAGCCCAGCCCAAACCATTTTCACCAGCGCCCTTGCTTTGGCTCGAATACAACGTGTTGCCTTTTGCTAAACAGCACGAACCTCTCGCTGACAACAGAGGGGACACTGAGGCCAAAAAGCCACTTCCTTCCCCTTGCCACCTTCATCCAAGCGGGATTCGTTCTGCCCAAAATCGCAGCCCCGGCCGCTTCCAGGAGAGCCGAGCGCTGCCACCTCCGCCCCTCTTCCTTTTACCTTCCCTAATTACCAGGCACTTAAAATAGCCTGTTATGATGCAATTATAAATTGCATTTGCTGCTAATGAACGGGTGGGATCAGCAGTGATCTGTATTTTAAGCACCCTCCTTGCTCACATGTACTCCCTTGGAGGAGGGCCGGGGACAGCCCATTTTCAGCTCAGATTTCCCCAAAGATCTGTGCAAAAGGACATTTCCAACCCAAGCTGCCTTGGTCAACAAGAGCGTCTTGGCAAGGTGCATCCTCGGTGCCTCTCCTTGTTCTGCTCTGCGAGGTACAGGAGGTTCCCAAGGTACGAGGAGATCCCCAAGCCATTTTCCAACGCAAGGCAGAAAGTCCCTCCTTACGCGAGTCAGGTGCTGGAGAAATAGGCTGAGAAACCATAACACAGGGTGCTGGGAAGGAAACGGGGCGAAGAGGAGGAGCCAAATGTTAAGGGATGCACAAGACGCACGAGGAAGCCTTGCCGAGCCCTCGGCACCAACGCTGCTCACCTGCACATCCAAGGCACCAGGCTGGAGAGCCCCCTGAGAACATCCAGAAGAGCTTAAAGGAGGTGACGGGACACGGCTGAAGCCGGCAGAGGCCTCGCCAGGAGCTCAGAGCTTCCAAACGAGCTCTGAACCGTGGGTGCCCAGGCCGAGGGGGGACCTTGTTTCACCGTTCTGCACGGCACGTTCAGGCAGCGATAGCCGAGGGGAGCGGGGCCGCACTCCCAAAGCCGCCCGCTACCCGCGCCCAAATCCCGCAGGGATTCCCAAACGCCCGCGGGATGAGGAGGAAGCCTCTTCCCCGGCCGCACCGCGTGCTGGGTGCAAGTTCTTGCGGTGGTCTCCCCTGCAGTGGTTTCTGCCGGTGTCGGGAGCGCCCGGAGGCTTCCACGGGCTCTGCGAGCACAAGACGCAGCCCATGGGCTTCTCCCGGAGCCTTTGCTGCCATTCCCAGGGAAGGTGGATGGGTTTTCCCTCCGCCTCGCTCCCAGCTTGGCTCACGGCATGGCGGCGGTCTCAGGTGTGACCTGATCTGCACCACCTCGGTCCTGTTGAAGGTCATCTTGAACGCCGACATGGCCAAATCCCTTATATGTAACATGGAATAATGAAAATGAAAGCCAAGCTGCATCTAATGTAGATTTTTTTTCTGTAAGAAACTGCTTCTGGTGAATTTAAAGCATTTTAACCCCAGCCACACACACCACCCAAAGCCAGGACGGCCACGGAGGAGGGTTTGTCTGTTTGTTTTCAGCCGGCTCGGGGTTGCATAAGCAGAAAATCACTTCAAGATTCGAGATCCTCAACAAAGCAAGCCCGAAGGAGGTGGAAAAAGAGAAAAATAAAGGAATTGCATCCCAGACGCTGAAAATTCATATTCCATTCCTAAATGTCAGCTCGCCCAGGAGCTCATCCACGTCTTATTGGTGGTATTTACGACAAGATTTCCACAAGAGCGAGTAGAGTTTCAGTTCCCCAGCAGCTCGCGGGCCATTTCTGTCTCAAAGTCGTGGCCTCGAGGCTCCCGTGCTGACGGCAGCAGCCAGTGGAAGCGGAGCCCGGTGGAAATGCCGAGCTGAGAGCTAAGCAGCGCTGGAGAGCACTTGCAGGAACGCGGCAGGGCAGAGCGCAGGCGGCGGCCCCAGACCTGCTGCCTGCTCACCTGGGTTTTCCACAAGCAACACGTGCACCTGAAGCTTTGCTACCACCCCAAGCCAGAGCTTGCGGTGATATAGCTCAATATGCACCAGCTTAACGCTGCTATACCATTAAAAGGGGCATTTTGCAGCGGAGTGTGAACCTAGAGCTACAGGATGACTGACCGCCTTGCAAAACGGAGCCCATGTGGGATCCTCATTGGCCTCTGCTGTGAGATTGCAGCAAATCCTGCGTTGCCAAAACAGTGTCATGCCCAGACTGGGGAATAATTCGGCTCCGTCGCCTCTGGTCTTGCTGTGCCAGGCTGAGGAGCTAAGAACCAAAGCAAAGAAAAGCTTCCAAGCAAGCAGCTCCAACTCGCACAGCAAACACAAAGGGGCTGTTGATGGGAACGCTGTCATGGCTAAAGCATCAAAAAAAGCACTTTCGGGTAAATGCCCCTACCTTCCTATAACAGTTTTCAAAAGTCCGTGTGTTGCTGAGCTGTCCGGGGAAGACGTGAATCCCGACCCGAAAGCAACAGGAGGCTGCGCTCGCAAAGGTGGCTCCAGCGGGCCCAGCACTCGGCTTCCTTGTTTTTATGGAAACGTCGTCTTCACGAGGTTGGTTCGCAGCAGCATCCTGCCAAAGTCGATGCAAAAACCATCTCTGCAAGTCCAGGTTGTCCAAGAGGAACCACATGTGCTGGAGGAGCCCGCAGAGCTGCAGGACGCGGAGCGTGGGCTCTGCTGCCTGTCTGCTCCGAGCCACCTCGTCTCCCACTCCAAAACTGCACAGATCTGCCTTCCATCAGCACGTAAATCCAAGGAGAAGATGCTATTCATCTTCACGGACGGTTCAAAGAACACTGAAGTTTTACTTCCCCCTTCCAACTCTCTTGACACCGCTTATTTTTAGCGGCTCTTGAACAAAAGTAGCTCGAGAGCAAGCTGGGGGTGAGGAAGAAAGTCACCGGTTTAAGCTAAACCTAGCAAAATACCAGGCAGGCAAGTAAGAAAGAACAAACAGGTCACCTGCACCTCAGGGGGCTCCCTGGAGCACAAGAGGCGAGGGTTTCTGCGAGAATCGGATAATTCCACCAACACGAGAGGTGGCAACACAACCCCGACAGCCAGCGCCAAGTCCGCACGGGACGCAAGGGAACGGCCCCCAGATCCAAGGCTCCTCTTCCAGCCCCGCAGCTGGGAAGGGGAGCCGAGGCGGAGTCCCCGAGGACAGGAAACGATGCTGAGCTGCAGCGCCCTGCAAGGAGCTCCCCTTGCAGGGCTTAAAGGAAGGGCTGGACTCGCTAAAGCCGGCTACTCTCCCTCCCCATCAAACGACAGCATCTAAAACTCAAGCCTAGCGGTGTCTGGCAAGATAAGAGATGGAAAACACGTAAGGAGGGGACTCGAGCTCGTCCTCCCCTCTTGACTATTGGTGCTGCCCCGAGAAGCCGGGGACACGGCGCACAAGGAGGCAGCTCGAGT